CAGACCCCCTCTCCTCTTCTGTGTGACCCGGAACAAATCACTAAAACCTCATGGGACAGCGTGTTCCTCTGTATTACAGGTGGCAGCGCCTGCTTCACGGTGATGCTGTTGGGATTAAACGACATAGCATATGTACCAGAACCATGTGCATGAAAAATGATACTAGACGAAATGCATCAAGCAATAGTATGAGTGAGAAATGCTATATTTGGGGGCGCCTGGGTGGCTCAGTTGGTTAAGCGTTCGACTTCAGCTCAGGTCATGGTCTCACAGCCTGAGTCAGGCTCTCTGCTGTCAGCGCTGAGCCCACTTCAGATCCTCTGTCTCCCTCCTTCTCTGCCCCTTCCCACTCACACGCACTCGCTCTCTCACTGTCTCTCTCTCTCTCTCTCTCTCTCTCTCAAAATAAATAAATACACTTTTTTTAAAATGCCATATTTTTACAGGGTGCCTGGGTGGCTCAGTCAGTTAAGCACTGACTTTGGCTCAGGTCAATGATCTCACAGTTTGTGAGTTCGAGCCCCACGTCCACCTCTGAGGTGACTGCTCAGAGCCTGGAGCTTGTTTCAGATTCTGTGTCTCCATTTCTCCGTGTGTGTATGTCTCTCTCTCTGCCCCTCCCCCGCTCATGCTGTGTATCTCCCTCGTGCTCGCTCTCAAAACTAAAATAAACATTTTTAAAAATGCTATATTTTGGGGCGCCTGGGTGGCGCAGTCGGTTAAGCGTCCGACTTCAGCCAGGTCACGATCTCGCGGTCTGTGAGTTCAAGCCCCGCGTCAGGCTCTGGGCTGATGGCTCTGAGCCTGGAGCCTGTTTCCGATTCTGTGTCTCCCTCTCTCTCTGCCCCTCCCCCGTTCATGCTCTGTCTCTCTCTGTCCCAAAAGAAATAAATAAACGTTGAAAAAAAAATTTTTTTTAAATGCTATATTTTTTAAAGTATACTGTCACGATGATAATAAAATCTGAGGGAGCCGGTTGCTTTCAAAGTTGACAAACGCCACCATCTTTGCAGCCCTACGTGATTACCTCTGGACTAACAATAACACTGGATATTTATTCAGACCTTTTCTGGTTTCCAAATCCCTTTAGTGCAGCCATTTGAATTCTCACTGAGGAAACCGATAGGGAAACCAAAGCCCAGAGAAGCCAGCAAGTTCCCCAAGGTCACCGAGTCAGTGAACAGCGGGCTAGACTTCCAATGTCCCATGAGGTCCTCCAGCAACAAAACCACATTGCCTCTGTAAAGAAACTGGCTAGTCTGGGCAGACTAGTATTGCCCATTGTTGACAAAGATTCATCAGGACCAGGCAGGGCTTGATTGTAACATCACATGGAGAGCTCTGGAGGGTGGGGCCGAGCGCCCAGCCTTTTCCCCACGCAGCACTAGACCTCATAGCCATCATTCAAGTGGGAGACATTCCATCTCAGTTACACTCTCAGGGAAACAGCGAGGTTAGACCCAGCCCACGTGGTGTCCCAGATCTCACATCCTCCCTCTGGCTGTCATCACCTCATGTAAATCAGTACAAACCCCTGAATCCTTTCTAGCCCCAGATCCCAGATCCCAACCAGACCCGCACGTAGAAGCAATAATTGTATCCCTGAATGAAGAGAAATGTTCGTGGTACCAAATCTCTCATAGATCACGGGGGAAAGAAATCAAATCAGGTATCCAATATTTTATTTGTGTGGTACCAATAGCAGTCACATGTGAAATGACCTAGTTGAATGTGTAAATTTGTTTTTTACCAGCTGTAAAAAGAGCCACAAAAACACAAAGGAAGGCTTTCTGCTCCTCAGTTTCCTCATGCTAAAATTACAGTTATTTCTGGAAAGAGTTTTGGCATTATCCTTCAAGCTCTTTAAAAATGTTTAATCCCACTGACCCAGTGACTCCATTTCTAAGAAACATCATCAGAAATTCAAACATACAGGCATGAAGATATCATCCCTTACAAATGGGAAGAGTTAAACAAAAATGTCAGTGCTCACCACTATGAGGAAATGTGCCAAAATGTTAACAATGATTGTTTGTTGGCAACGGAATTATGACAGAATTTTATTTTTTTCTTTTCTTTATATAGGTCTGTAGTTTCCAAAATTATCTACAATGAGAAACAACTCAACTATCCAGACAGGTGAGTAGAGAAATAAAATGTGGTACATACATACAATGGACTATGATTCACCCTTAAAAAGGAAGGACATTCTAACACGTGCTCCAACATGGATGAACCTGGAGGACATTTATGTATATTTTACCAAAATTAAAATTTTTAAAGAAACAAAACCCATAATAAGTATGTGTTTTACTCTGACACTTGGGGGTGGGAGGATTAAGGGAAAATCAAATTCAAATGCTGGTTTTGATTAGATGGTGTCCCTTTCAGCTTTAGCTTTCTATGACTTAACACCATGTTCAACATTCAGCCTCAGTATAAATTGATGAATGCTCCAAGGCTGGAGAAGAAGAGATCTCAAGACTCAAAACTCAGATGCGTGGAGAGCTCTTATTGAGGTAGAAATAAGCCAAATTATTTCCTTTAATAAGTTGCTTTATGTTTCATACAAAGTTTTAACCAGAGAGAAAAGAAGAAGCAGGAAGAGAAGGAGGAGGAGGAGGGTAAGGAGTTGAAAAGAAATTCCAAATCTAAGCTAGTGCTTTGCAGTTACAAGATATAACTTGTAAGATATAAAAAAATTTTTGTCAAAGCTCCTAGGTGGCTCAGTTGGCTAAGTGTCCAACTTCGGCTCAGGTCATGATCTCATGCTCCATGGGTTCAAGCCCTATGTCAGGCTCTGTGCTGACAGCTCAGAGCTTGGAGCCTGCTTCCGATTCTCCCTCCCTCTCTCTCTCTCTCTCTCTCTCTCTCTGTCCCTTCCCTGCTTACACTCTGTCTCTCTCTCTCTCTCTCTCTGTCTCAAAAATAAATAAAACACATTTAAATTTTTTTTTAATTTTTTTCATAATCACAAGAAATAGAAATTGAGGATAGTGTCACATTACCTGTGAATATCCTGTATTTTGTCACATTTGTTACATTTAGATGAGTGATAATACTTGGCAAAATGTGCTACACCTTACTGTTCAATGATCTGCAGAACAAAGATGTGCTAGAGTCATGACTGTTTATACCCATGTCTTTCTTAAATCAACCATGGCTAGGGAAGCTGTTGTTTACAAACGAACTGAAGAGCTGTGGTATCATGATTCAACTACCGTTAGCAGCTACAAACCAATAGGGTAAAATAAAATGACAACAAATTAGGTACCATGTGCTTGTGTTCAAGTATTGATCAGTTACCAAGCATTGGGTATTCGGAGTTCAATGCAAATTTTTATTGTGGCACAATACACATAACATTAAATTTATCATGTTAATCATTTTTAAGTGTACAGCTCAGTGCCATTAAGTACCTATTATTGTGCAACCATCACCACCATCAACCTCCAGCATTTTTCATCTTTCCAAACTGAAACCCTGTACCCATTAGATAACTCCCCGTTGCTCCCACCCCAGCCCCTGGAAACCACCATTCTACTATCTGTTTCTCCTGATTTGACTACTCTAGGGACCTCATTTAAATGGAACCAGTATTTGTCCTTTGTGACTGGCTTATTTCACTCAGCGTAACGTCCTCAAGGGTCATCCATTGTTGTAGCAGGTGTTAGAATTTCCTTCCTTTCTAAGGCTGAATCCTATTCTGTTGTGTATGGACCACATTTCGTTTATGCATTTATCTGTCGGTGGATACTTCTTGGCTATTATGAACAATATTGCTGTGAACATGGATGTACAAATAATTCAATGCAAGCTTTAAGAATTGGTGAGTCGTATGTGTCCAGGAAAATTAAGTAGGTGACCTCTATCTCGCTGGTGCCAGGAAATCACTTATTTCATAGAATCAGAAAATAGTAGAGCAGGAAACATTATAAAGTCATCATTGATGTGTATTTTCATAGAGGAGGAAATGGACACACAGTGACTTAACTAGATGGTTTCTAAAACCTCTTCAGTTCCTCGGTTCAGGGAGGAGTGGTACTCCTCTCTCTCTCAGGCAAAAATATCTACCCAACTTGTCATGCCACATACCTCAAATTCCCAACACCAGAGATTTATTTACTCAGATGAAGGCACTGGTACTTTTACCAGGAATTTCCTAGTAAAATTAAAATAGCTCTGAGGGAAAGTCGTTATTGACCTACAACCCTTATCTTGAAAGACTGGTTTTCCACAGGACAATAAGCTCAGAGTGGGATTCTTAAGGAATAGACCCTGTACAGGAGATGGCAGTGGGGAGGGCAAGGGGCAGTATCATGAGGAATTTTAAGCATAGATGCTCTACAAGGAGAAAATCATCTCTTGAGGAGCTCTGGGCACCCAGGGATAGTCAATACCAGTGTTGAGAGACCGTAGATCCAGAAAACTGAAGTTAGAAAAGTTGTAAAGACCAACTCAGGCAACATATGATTTTTCTCTCTGGCTAGCTTGTCACTGTGTATTGTGCTTCATGCCAAAGTATAGGTCTTCTATAAATGACTTGAGGACATGACTCAGTTCTGGATGTTAATGAAACATTTTGCTAGGTTTTCTCAACCATATAAGGAAAGAGTCTTTTTTTTTTTTTCCTTTTAGCAAGAATGGAAAATGCCCACATGTATCACCAACTGAGGAAGTCATTTTGCATCAACAGGGTTCAATCTCTCTGGCTGTCTGATGGGTTTCCTGATGGAGTTGAGGTAGCTCTGTCAGTAAAGGTAGCATTTGAAGACCCGGAGAATGCCATTGTAACACAGCTCACTAGCACAAGCACCTGAACATTCCACAGGTTCAAAAGTGTTTTCTATAAACACAGTAACCATACTGGCCCCATAACAACAAGATTGATTCTTAAGGAGAGTGTTATTTCTATCTCCACTTCCAACATTGTGATGTGGTTCCACTATGTCTGGGGAAGAACAATGAGGTTTGAAAAGAGAATTATGGGCCCAAGGAAAGCATACACTTACAAAGGTTTATTTGGCAATAAATACAAATGATGTATACAGCCTCTTGCAATCCTAAAAATCAGGTCAATGACACCAGAAAGCCTTTCACTTATTAAGCTAACAACAGCAACTAATTGAGCAATGAGACATGAAACTTACTGTTATATCTGCAGAGAAGTCAAGAACATATGGAAGCAGAATTAAAACAGAGCCAGGTATTAGTAATTAGGGAAGTTTATACACACGAGTTATACAGTTTATGAAGCTGAGAATCCATCATGCTGTGGTGAAAATCCAGAAGACTGTATTTACGGGGTCCTGCTATTGCGATGTGTATCCAGTATCTGATATGTAAAGTCCACATGAACAAAGTAAGTTCGCACCAAATTAACCTAAACAATAAAAATAAAACACTAACATTAATCCAATTCCCATTGTGGTGATGTTTGGTTTGCTTCACCGACAAGTTAATGGAGTCAACATCTGTTTTATCCCCTCATGTTCCCCAGGAGGCCAAGCTCACGTGATATATTAAAATCTTTCCCAGAGGTCTTCTTATCCTCAGCCTCACGCAGCCTAAGGAAGCACACCAGACAGTTTTCAGCTAACCCCTCACTGACAGCCCAGTGTATGGTCCTCAGTGTAAACCCCATGATGGTGTTGATAGTCACCAAGAACCAGCTTAGGGCTGTCCAAGATGCTAATAAAGGTTGCCCCATTCAGCACTTGTAGGCTGGGTTGCGTTTTTCCATTAAAAAAAAAAAAAATGATGTATACAAAACACATTCTATTAGTACATTGTTGTTATAAAATACTATAGAAAAAAAGCATGGAATAAGTCCTTTTATCAGTTTGGTATATAGCGTTTTTTCCAAATGTGTACACATGTCCTATTCACTGCTTACCATCCAGCATGTTTTGTGTAACAAATAGGGCTCGGATCCTCGGTCTCCGGTAGTCTCCCTGTAGGATTTTAGCAGAAATGTGAGAGGGGGGTTGGCCCCTGCAGTGCCCCATTCCGCACCTGTTCTTTCGATCTGGCTCCTCTCACTTGGAGAAGTGACATAAAAGCAAAGGAACTGCCTATCTCTACAAAATGCTGTGCCAGAAAAAAAGGGCTCTGGTCAGACCAGACACCATGCTGGTGACCAGAACTTGAAATAAAGGTAGTGAACAGGAGCAAGCACCGTGTCTAGGGAGGCATGTAGACAAAGCCGGAGGAAGGTGCCAAGGGTTCAGAACCAAACGGAGAGATGGAGCCCAAACGTGTGACCAGGGGTACAGTATATGGGCTGTTCTGCCAGATTTAAAGAGTCCAGGATGGGGCAGACCAGCGAGCCAGCCCCTGGAAGCTGGGGAAGGGGGCCGTCGAGTGGTAAAGGAAGGAAATGAGGAAAGAAGACAGGTGGTGAGAGACAATCTCCGGGAGCTGCTCCGGTGGGCTCTGGGGCAGCGAAGGCGTCAGAGTCCCAGCTGACACACAGCATAGGGAAGGTGATACAGTTACAGAAATGGGGAGGTGGGGCCCGGAGGCGGGTTTGGAGGGATGCACGAGATGAACACACTGGATGGGGAAGATCACAGTAAATTTTTCCTTCTTGTTCCTTTTCCCTCTTCTCTCCCTGATTTTATTTACTATAGTGAGTCCATGAAGGAAAGGGGTGTCTAAATCAGAACATAAGTCACTTGTACCTCCTTAAATAGCCTTCTTCCTTCAACCCTTTCCTTGGGTTCACTTCTTCTATCCCTGACCAAGATCCATGCTCCCTAACGGAAACCCACTGTCGTCATCACCCCTACAGCACTTTTTAGGGAACCCACAGAGGATTTCAGGTTCAGGGAAACAACCTGCCCCATCTTCCCTGCCTAACTTACAGACTCTTGGCACGGTTGTGGTCAGAACAGGAGAGGCTCTGAAGCCAACCCAAGCCTTCCACCGGTGACCCACTCGGGAACGGCAAATTGAAGGCTACTGGGAGAAGTAGCTAGCAATGCTCAGAGTGGTGAAATCTGTCCAAGATATCCTGGTAACAGCTGAGCCACATGAAGAGGAAAGATGGGAGAAAGCTACATTCAAGAAACAGAAATAGGAAGTCCCAGGCCACCTTCATGGAGAGCCTTACAAAAATGGCACAGCTTTCCGATTCTGTGTCTCCCTCTCTCTCTGCCCCTCCCCCGTTCATGCTCTGTCTCTCTCTGTCCCAAAAATAAATAAACGTTGAAAAAAAAAAATTTTTTTTTTTAAATGGCACAGCTTGTATCTCAGGAAGAAAAGAAATGGAGACCTTAGCTGTATCAGAAGCTGCATGAAAACATTTGGAAACACTGGATCTCCTTTTTGGCACAAGAGCAGTTATGAAATGTAGATTAAATTAGGATCTTGAGTGGCATGATGCAGGCTGTGCTCTGGAAGAAACTTCCACAGGTATCCCTAGAGGTCAACCAGGTGACCCATCTGAGGAGCCTGGCTAATTTACTGGCAAAAGGCAGGGAGGACATCCATCTGGGCCAAGACCTAGGACAACAACAGTCAGAAGCAAAGATAAAGTTGAAGACACCTGTCCAGGAAAAAGCAGGCTCTGCCAAGGGTGGGAATTAAGTCCTCTGAGAAGCTTTGTCTCAACCCATCTGTCCAAAAACCACTAATACCAGTTTCTCAAAAACAAGGAAGTAAACACAAAGGAGGGGAGGGAAGGATGTTGGAAGTGCTTTGCAATGTAAAAATAATAATCTTAATAAAGGTACTTCTGCTGCCTACACTTTCGGAAACACACTGAGGGGTCAACCGAGGACGGGTCTTCAGGGGATCCGAAGCTGGTCTCCTCAAGTTCTGGGACACCCTGTCCCTTCCGGGCACTTCTGCCAAGTGCCATGGCGGAGGGCCTTCTCAGCTCAAGGGTGTTTGTCTCCGGGCAGTTGTTTGCGCGTACACAATACTAGATCAATAATAACCCTATCTTATTTCATTATTGTTGTCTCTCAAGTCCCCAGTGCACCACAGATTTGGTTTTTTCCCCCTTGCTTTTGTCACAGTGAGATCCGCAACCTGAATCCCAGCTTCCCAAGGCAATGCCTGTGGCACTAATTTTGAACAAGGAAGTGTAACTTGGAATCCAATTTTTTGTGAGGCCTTGGAGGTAAGCATTGGTGGAGGAGGGGTGAGGCAGGACAAGGGAGAGAGAAGTTCAGAAAGGAGCCTGTGAGGACGGGGCAATGAGGAAAGCAAAAGGATATTTATTTAATCAGACTTACTTTTCTTAATTTCCTGTTTCCATAGGCCCTGCTTAATGATTCCCCCTTAGTGATAAAAACCAACTATCTCCCACCCCACGTTATTTAATGAATTTTACCATCTCGATCTTAACACACTTATAAAAACACAATGGGGTTAATGACTAAGGGTACTTCTTTAAATTTTTAAATTTTTTTAAGTTTATTTTTATTTATTTTGAGAGACAGAGACAGCGAGAGAGCAAGAGGGGCCGGGGCAGAGAGAGAGGGAGAAAGAACCCAAGCAGGCTCCTCGCTGTCGGCACAGAGCCAGACGTGGGACTCAAAATCACAAACTATGAGCTCACAACCTGAGCCAAAATCAAGAGTCGACGCTTAACCTACTGAGCCACCCAGGGTGCTTTTTAAATTATTATTATTATTATTTTTAAGAACAGCAATCTAGAAAACTAAATCTTAGTGATATTTATTCTTAAACAATGTTTAACACTTAAATTGAATTTTTTTATTTTTTATTTTTATGTATTTGGGGCAGGGGAGAGCACAAGTGGGGGAGGATGGGGAGGGGGGGCCAGGGCAAGGAACAGAGGATCTGAAGTGGACTCTGCACTGACAGGCTGACAGCAGCAGCGAGCTCGAAACCACAAACTGTAAGATCATGACCTGAGCCAAAGTCGAACACTCAACCGACTGAGCCACCCAGGTGCCCCTGAATCGAAGTTTTTTCAAGTTTTCATGATTACTTCACCAAAATCAGGTTGAGTGAAAACTGCTTTTGTTTCCAGTAGGTCGCAGTCAGTGATGGTTAAGCAACTGTATTGTTACATTTTGCACCACACAGTTTCACCAAAAAGCAGATGGATAAACATCAAGTAGGCCAGTGTCTGGATGTTATTAGCCTCTCCCCTACAGGACAAGCCTCCAGGGCAATCTGTATCTCCTGGCCTATACCACCAGGGACACTCCAGCTACCTGGTTCTCCCAGGAAGATTCACTGGTATTTGTCTGGAATGGATACACTTGGAAATGACATTCCCCAGGGGGGCAGGGGGCAGGCGGGGCCTCCTGCTTCAGTGAGAACTGCATGTTTTCCCCAGAGTCACAGGGAGAAGGGACTCCTCTCAGAGTCACTCTCACTCCCCCCTGCCTCCTTCACTCAACATCCAACAAACACTGGTTGCAGGTCTGTTCTGGGCAAGGAGCTCTTCCTCAAACTGGGAATGCCGCCATGAGAGGTAAGGTGGTCAGGGGCGCCTGGGTGGCTCAGTCAGTTAAGTGTCCGACTTCAGCTCAGGTCATGATCTCACAATCCGTGAGTTCGAGCCCCGCGTCGGGCTCTGTGCTGACTGCTCAGAGCCTGGAGCCTGTTTCAGATTCTGTGTCTCCCTCTCTCTCTGGACCTCCCCTGTTCATGCTCTGTTTCTCTCTGTCTCAAAAATAAATAAACGTTAAAAAAAAATTTTTTTTTAAAAGAGAGGTAAGGTGGTCAGGCAGGAAGGCAGTTACAACCCAACATAGAAGGTACTGGACCCAAGAGAAGCTAAGACTCCATGTGAGCACATCAGAGTGGAACCTAAACCAGGCTGGGTAGAGCAGGAGTCAGGGAAGTCTGCCTGGAGGAGGTGACTGTAGTGTTTCCCTCCATTCAACTGATATTGAGCACTTATCATGGGCTCCCACTGCTCTGACCAGTGGCTTAGAGCAGTGGACCAACGTGCAAAGTCCTCTCACTAGAAACTCACATTCCAGGAGGAGGAACCACTAATGGGCAGAGGACTGTGACAGAGTGACCACGTGACCAGGGAAGCCTGAGGAAGCAATGTTTAAGCTGAGACCATAATGATAAGATGTGGGGGGAGGGTTTTTCAAGCAGAGGAAATGGCCTGGTATGCTATTGGAGTAAGGGAGCAAGACCAGTGTGGCTAGAATTTAGTGGGTGAGACACGGCGTGAAAGAACTGAGGTGGGAGAGATAAGCAAGGACCAGATGACACATGGCTTTCTAGATTATGGTTCTGAGTTTGCATTTTATTGTATGTGTCATGGGAAATCATTAAAAGGTTTTAAGCCAGAAAATGATATAAGCATCCCGGCTTCTTGGTCAGGCGAGAGAGGAGAGAAGCCTTGAAAGAAACAGCACACGCCAAAGGGCCTTGGAGAGGTGGCCCCCTGTGTGGCCAGGCGCAGAGCCCCAGGCAGCATGGAGGGAAATGAGGCTGGAGACGCAGGCCAGCCCGGACTGCCATGGCTCTCACATGCCCCTGGAGGCCATCCAGCAGGACTGACGTAATCCAGACTTACTATCATCACTCAGGGCCTTTTGGATTGGTAAGTGGTGTTCAAGTCCTGGATTCCCCCAGAGAGCAAGGACTCAGCCTGTGGAATTAATTCTATCTTCTAAGACCCAAAATGGGGGCACGTAGGTGGCTCAGTCGGTTAAGCATCCGACCTCAGCTCAGGTCATGATCTCATGGTTTGTGAGTTCGAGCCCCGCGTCAGGCTCTCTGCTGACAGCCCAGAGCCTGCATCCAATTCTTTGTCCCTCTCTCCCTCTGCCCCTCCCCTGCTCAAGCTCTCTCTCTCAAAAATAAATATTAAAAAAAAATTTTTAAAGACCCAAAACGCACACTGTCTTTCCAAGTTACTAAAATGTACTAGTAATCATCACATTCTTACACATGAAACAAGAGTTTTCTCATTCTCCAGATTTCACGGGTACAACAGAGCAGCAACAATGTGTGACCAATGCCATTAGTATTGTTATTATTGCTGCTATCTACTTCCTATGGTGGCATTTCACACAGACTCCTCACTTTCTTCTTCAAACTCTAGACTACCCTGATTTTCCTGCTTCTTCCTTGGCTGCTCCTTTTCAGATTGTTGTCCTGTTTCTTCTTTCTCGCATCCCTGCATTTTCCCAAAGCACTGGCCATCCCCTCCCTAGCAGCCCCTATCATGTCTCTGTGAAGAAGTCCCAAACCCTCCTGGGTGGTTCTGTCCCTCCGCCCCATTTGATGGGTGCTGCTCCATTTGATGTCACACTGGCATCCTGGATTCAATGGATACAACTGGTCACCATCTTCCCCAAACCCTGTCTTCTTCTGAAATTCTCCTAGGTGGCACAGCCCCTGTTCACCCTAACTAGTGTCCTCAGTCATTCTCAGCTCTTCCCTCTCCCTAGTTCTCTCTATTGACCAAGTAAGCCCCTTCTGTGTTATTTCCTCAGTGTCTTTGGAATATACCCCCTTCTTTCCTCTTCCATCACCGTCTTCCTCATTACAGCAATCATTCACCTATGCCAGTGCAAGGTTTCTCCCTTCCTGTCTCCAATAGTTCTTTATTATCTTATGTGCTCTCTCAAGTCCCAGGCACCATCTCTAAACTGGCTTTATGTTGCTCAGAGTAAAAAGAGACCACTAGATTTGCATTTCCATCAACTTCCCATCCCCAAATATGACCAGCAGAGATGCGACTGCAGAATACAAGAAACAGCAGCAAGCAAAACAATGGTTTTTACTGTTGCAAACCTTATGGTACAATCTGAGCACATACTGTCCAACATGGTGGACAATAGCTACCTGAAGCTATTGAGTACTTCACTTATTACTATTCTATTTTTTAATGTTTGTTTGTGTGTGTGTTTGTTTGTTTATTTACTTATTGAGAGAGAGAGGGAGAGCACACGTAGGGGAGGCACAGAGAGAGAGGGAGGGAGAATCCCAAGCAGGCTCCACGCTGTCAGAGCAGAGACCTATGCGGGGCTTGAACTCATGAACCTCAAAATCATGACCTGAGCCAAAATCAAGAGTTGGATGTTTAACTGACTGAGCCACCCAGGAGCCCCCAGCTTATTACTATTCTAAATTGAGATGTGATGTAAATGTAGAATATACCCTTAAAAGTCTTCATACAAATAAAAAAAGAATGTAAATAATTTTTGTATAGAGTACACATAAGAAATGGTACTATTCTGGATATTTGGGGTTAAATAATATATATTGTTAAATAAAACCTACTATTAAAATAAATTTCATTTGTTTCTTCTTGATGTTTTTAATGTGGCTAAGAGAAAATTTTAAATCACATATGCATTATATAGCATTGTATTTCGATTGGACAGTGCTGTTCTACCTAATTGGGGATAGTGTCACGGTGAAACTTAACTGGTAAGAAATTGGAGAGAAATAGTTCCTAAGAAAACAACGAATGCCACAATGAAAAGAAAAATAGCACAATGGAAAAATGGGCCCAGTATCTGAACATACATTTCTCCAAAGAAGATAGACAAATGGTCAATGCTAAACATCATATTCATTAGGGAAATGTAAATCACAACAACATCCCACTTCATTCCCAGTAGGACTGCCAAATTTTTTTTTTAATGGGAAATTACAAGTGTTGGGGAAGAGGTAAAGAAATGGGCCCCCTTGCACATGGGGGGGGGGGTAGGAATTTACAATGGTGCAACCACTGTGGAAAACAGTTTTGTGGATCCTCAAAATGTGAGGCATGGAGCTCCTACATGACCCAGCCATTCTGCTCCCAGGGAAATGAAAACATATTCATACAAAAAGCTGTACAAGAATGTTCACAGCAGCATGATTCATAATAGCCAAAAAGTGGAAAGAACCAAATATCCATCAATTGACAAATGGGTAAACACAGTGGAATGTTATTTGGCAATTAAAAAAAAAATGAAGTACTGAAATGTGCTAGAACATGGATGAATGAACCTTGAAAACATTAAGCTAAGGTAAAAGAGTCCAGCCACAAAAGACCACATAATTACAATACCTTTTATATGAAATGTGCAGAATGGGCAAATCAGAAAACAGAAAGGAGATTGGTGGTTGCCTAGAGCTGGAGGGGGCTGGGGGAAAATGGGGAGTTGATAGCAAAAGAATGCAAGGGCTTCTTTTGGGGATGATGAAAATGTTCTAAAATCAATTGTGGTAGAGGTTGCACAAGAAACAAATTACAGTTGTTTCTGGGAAGGGAACTTGACAGCTGGGCACAAGGGTGTTCCTGTACATGTATTTTTTTTTTTAGTACATATCCTCTGTGTGTACTAAATTTTGTATCACATATATAACTTTTTCACAAATACATAAAATAGGATTTTATGAAAAATTATGTTAAGAATGACAAGAGTCATAACTATTGGTTCAATAAAAGTTCAAAATGTGTTAAAAAACTCATTTAAATGTTTATACCAATACATATGCAAATCTAGATGAAAAGGATAATTTTTAGGAAATTATAAATGTCAAAATTGACTCCAAAAAAGGTAGAAAACCAGGCCAGGGTAATGGCCAGATAAGAAATTGTTACAATAGGGGCACCTGGGTGGCTTAGTCAGTTGAGCATCCAGCTTTGGCTCAGGTCATGATCTCATGGTTCGTGAGTTCAAGCTCGGCATCAGGCTCTGTACTGATAGCTTGGAGCATGGAACCTGCTTCGGATTCTGTGTCTCCCTCTCTCTCTGCCCCTCCCCTACTCATGCTCTGTCTCTTTCTCTTTCTCTCTCAAAAATGAATAAACATTAATTTTTTAATTGATAACAATAGCCAAAAATATATCTTTTCCCCTCTGCCCTCAAAAAAGAGCATCAAATTCAGATTGGTTTATAAGTGACTTTTTCCAGTCCTTTAAAGAAAGATAATTCTTACGTATAAACTCTTTCCAGTCATAGGAAAACACCCAAGGCTCCCCACTCATTTAACAGGGATAAGTATCAGCAAGTAAGAAATGTGTAAGGATAACAAAACGGAAGGAGGGTTGGGAGAGAACAGAGGCTGCACATTAGGGGTTTTGTTTGACCCACATTATTGGCTCTACCTATGAATTGGTTAATTGGTTGCCAACATTTAAAACCTGGAACATTTTTTCATAAAAATCAGATTGAAATAAAACATACACAATAGAGGAGTGCCTGGGCAGCTCAGTCAGTTGAGTGCCCAACTCTTAATTTTGGTTCAAGTCATGATCTCATGGATCATGGGATCAAGCCCCACATTGGGCTCTTCTCTGACAGCACAAAGTCGGCTTGGGATTCTCTCTCCCCCTTTCTCTGCCCCTCCCCCACCCATACTCTGTCTCTCTCTCAAAATAAATACATAAACATTAAAAAAAAACATGCAACAGTTGTAATACAGGATTAATAGAATAGTTATATGTTTAATTCCTATAAATCACTCGTGATCACTTAACATTTATCAAGCACTTAGCACATACCAGGACCTTGTCATACTTTCTGTTTTTCACAGAAGAAACACACAAACTTAATAGAGTAGAAAGCAAGAGATATGAGTAGCCAAATATAGATAGATAGATGGACAGATTGATAGATATCCAAAAGACACCCCTTCTAACAGAAATGGGTACCATTTTTACCCATCAGGTTGACAAAACATAAAAAAAAAAACAAACATAATAATCAGTGAGAACATAGGAAAATAGATACTTTTATTCTCCACTGGGGGAATGTGAAATTGGTGTGAACTTTTTGGAAACAACTTGAAAATAATTGTTAAAAATTTAAATGGGCACACCTTCAAACTTCAGGCAATATGTTTCTCTATCTCTGTCCTATGGAAATACTGAAAAATATATTAAAATAGTCATGATATTGGTTTTCTTTTTTTTTTTAAGGTTTTTTTTTTGGTTTTTTTTTGTTTGTTTGTTTGTTTTGAGAAAGAGAGCAAGCATGAAGGGGGGAATGGCAGAGAGAGAGGGAGACAGAGAATCCCCAGCATCTCCATGCTAAGCGCTAAGCCAGATGCAGGGCTCAAACCCACAAACTGTGAGATCATAACCTCAGCTGAAGTCAGACGCTTAACAGAATGAGCCACCCAGGCGCCCCATGGTATTGATTTTCTATTGAGCATAACAAGTTAACAAAAACTAAACAAGTTAAATCAACACAAAATTGTTATCTCACAGTTTGAAGGGCAGGAGTCAGGTACGTTTTCATTGGGTTCTCGGCCTAAGGTCTCACTTGATTGAAGTCAAGATGTCGGCCCGTGTGTTTTCATCTGGAAGTTCAACTCAGGAAAGATCTGCTTCCAAGGCTCCCTCAGGGTGTTAGCAGAACTCACTTCCTTGCCTGTATGAGGGAGGTCCTGTTTTCTCACTAGCTGTCAGAGGTGACCCATTCTCAACCACTAGAGGTCATTCCCGGGTCCTGGGGGTTCATGTAACCTTGCCATGTGGCAAGGATGCCGTGTGCCTTGGATGCCATGTGGCCTTGGATGCCATGTGCCTTGGATGCCATGTGCCTTGGATGCCATGTGGCCATCCTTCAGCCCCCTCACATTTCAAATCTCTCCCTTCAGAGATCCCCTTGGAAGGGATCCTCGGTTAAAACAGTCCCACCCAGATTATTCCAAGTCCATTAACTCAGTCACAGGAGTTATAGCCCATCCTTTCCATGGTTCTTGCCCACACTGTAGGGGAGGGGATTACACAGGGTAGTGCAACAGGAGTGGGAATCTTGGGACCATCTCAGAATTCCACCTGCCACACCCATGTTCAAGGATGTTCCTGCCAGTATTTTGTGAACATGAAAACTTAGAAATAATTTAGAAATAAACTCTGAATCATTATATAGCCTATCCACCTATACTACAAAATATTGGGCTGGCTGCATTGTTAAGTTGAATGAGATAGATCAGTGTGACATAAGTTTAAAAAAAAAAAAAGGCAAGTTACAGAACAACACATACAATAGGATCCCATTATGTATAAATAAATAAATACTGATTTCCTGCCTCACACTTGTTCTCTGTAATCCTCTATTCTGCTGCCAGAGAGGCCTTTTCAAAATTCAAACCTGATCCTGTCACCAGCCCTGCACCCACCCTGCCCCCTGGCTTAAAACCCAACCTTGGATTCCCATCATTCTTAGGATAAAGCCTAAACAAATCCTTATCCTGGCCATCCTGCCTCTCTGCAGCTGTGCTCCGGCTCAGATCCCTGGATGGACGGCTCTCCCTCCATCTCTCAACCTTCACCAGCATAATTCTCCTGTCCGAAATGTCCTAGTTGCCAATTTCACCTGGCTAACTCAGGCCCATTGTTCAACTCGAAATTCAAATGATACTCTCCTTGCCCCACTCCTCCTCCACCCCGCCCCCAGATCAGTCAGGTGCCCTGTTAACCAGCTTTCTGCATGCTCTCTCATTCTTCACACAGTTTGTAAGTATTCATTTGTAATTGTGCTTATTTCATCGATATGTGTCTCCCCCAATAGACACTAAACTCCACAAAGGCAGGACATAATCTGGTTTTGCTTATCACTGCACCACCACCACCCCGCCCCCCGTTGTGCCTGGTACACTGCCTGGCACAACGTAGCAGCCCAACCAACCTGTGCTTCAAGAAACAACAAATGAATTCCCTTCTCTGTCCTCCAGATTCCCCTTCTGGAAGCTTCACTTTTCCCTCTGATGGACATCCCCTCATCTGTGTTTTTCTGTCTCCTAGCACTCAGCATCCTGTACCGGACGTTTGCTCACCGACCAAGCTTCCCTACCAGACTTCGAGCTCCTCACCATGGCAACCAGCCTAGCACCCAGCCCAGAGAAGAGCTCAGTAACCTGACAATGGGTGAATGAAGGGATGACAGTCTGCCTCTCCCCTATCTCCACTATTCCTCTTCTAGGAGTACCCTGTTTGGAGGTGGCCTGGGCTGATGAGACTCAAGGCAGCAGGCTGGCACTCTTCCTGCAGGCAGAGCTCTGGCAAAGGCAGACTCGCTGTGATGGCTAGAAGGGAGGGAGTCCCTTTCAGGAGGAAGAAGATGTGACAACAGACAATGGGAAGTGTAGTCAGCATGGAGGAGGCCCAATGCAAAGGGCGGGGCACCTTACCAGGAAGGAGGGGCCCTAAGAGTGGACTCTGTTCTGAGTAAGAGATCAGAGAGGGACCCCCACAGGGCCTATCCCAGGACAGGACCCTGCGCAGCCACCCAGCCGGACACTGGCCATTTTGCAATCCCCTAGCTCCACCTCGGCAAACACAGTAGTGTCCTCTGCTCCTAAAATGGTACTCCACATACCCAAACGGGTGACCTTGAGGAAAGAGTTCTGGGGCCCAGTCCAACCAGGAGTCTTGTTTTCCCAAGACACCCAGAAGGAGGAGGAGCCTGAGCCAGCTGGACAGAAGACCAAGGTCAATGCCCACACATCTGAGTATCCTGTCCCAAGGGCTAGGCTGCAATCCTGAGAGCTGGAAGCAAGAAAAGTGTAGAGCAAGAAATCAGTGGCAGCAAGCAGCTCCAGAGGAAGCCTGTGAACACATTGATAGTGCTGGGCTTCCCCTGTCACATGGCACCTGATACTCAGAGCGGGGCTACTTAAGGACCTTCTGCCATGTGCCATGTCGGGCAGCCATCCTTCTATTAAGCCTTCTTGATCCTGGCTAGAAACATCTCCTTCCTGTCTCCTACCACCAGGTTGAACCATATGAAATGGCCGACAGTCCATGGTGTTTGTCCTACAGAAATGGCAATCTCATATGGTTCATCTAACAGACCAAGGGCTTTGGATGGCAGAGGCTCTATTGGTTTCATTTGTTTCTCTGCAAGTCTTGCCATGTAGTCGATGAAATGAATATGAACAAAAGAAGTTGCTTTTTTGAACTTGATTTTTTTTGCTATATAATTAATTCACTGGTAGTTCCTTAGAGAGTTATTCTAAAGCCCTTAAATAAAAATCAGTGTGTGTATAACCCTTTATTGTATACACTGGGGCACACCTGCAGTTGGGTATAATAAACACAAAGAGAAAGGGAACTGAGATCAGCTAAGAATCTGTTGGTGCCATTCGCCATACTTTCATTCACCCACTGATTCACAAGGACAATCTTGAAAAAGACATTGTTCGCTCCATCTCACAAATTGGGGAACATGCCATACAAACCAACTTAAATATAAAAGATAAGACATTCCATTAAAATAGGGACCCAAGTCTCCCAGATGTCAGGAAATATGTTGAGGGGCACCTGGATGGCTCAGTAGGTTGAGCATACGACTCTTGATTTTGGCTCAGGTCATGATCCCATGGTCGTGGGATCGAGACCCACGTCCGGCTCTGCATTGAGTGTGGAGCCTGCTTGTTGGGATTCTCTCTCCCTCTCTGTTCCTCTGCCCCTACATCTTTTCTCTCTCTCAAATAAAAGAAAGAAAGAAAGAAATCTATCAAATATCACATAGTATAAATGACGGCACTAATTCTGGCCTATATGGTTCTAAGGCAGAATCTTTCAACCTCAACACTAAAAGAAATTTTTTTTATGTTTATTTATTTTTGAGAAAGAGAGAGTGCAGGGGAGGGGCAGAGAGAGAGAGAGAGGGAGACACAGAATCCTAAGCAGGCTCCAGGCTCTGAGCTGTTAGCATGGAACCCAACAAGGGGCTCGAACTCACAAACTGCAAGATCATGACCTGAGCTGAACTTGGACGCTTAACCGACTGAGCCACCCAGGCACCCCTGAAGGAAATTTTCTTATAAAACATTTTGTTCATACCTAATGAATGAACACACCCTGAAAAACATCAGTTCTTCTGGGGGAGGGGGGAGGAACAAACACACAAACACAACGCTTACAAAGAAGAAATTACTGAAAAGTAACAAAATGTTTCCTTAAAGATTCTAGAGCATTTGTAAATGCTTTTGTAAAAATACTCCATTCTTTGGTAAAATGTGCATGACTCATGCGTACCTGTGTCAAGGTGTCATTGCTCTTCATCTGTCTTGTGTGCTCCATATTGATGAGTTTCCACAAAAGTTTTGTTTCTGAGGAGTCCACACTTCTGCACCTATTAATGTTGAAAAAGACCCCCTTCCTATGCCCTGCACACAGCAAACAGCCCTCTTGTGCTTGGTATCACCCATCTGTGAAGGACAAGAAATAGAACCCTGACCCTGAATTCTGAGCCCCAGAGGCTAGTGTTTTCTGAGCAGTTTCCCCCGCTGCCTCTCAGCTCTGCATTCTCTTCTTCCTTGGCTGCCTATGTCTGAAAAATGGAGAGCCACGGCGGCGATGTAGGGCAGGAAGTAAATGGAAAATGAACAAGTGCAGGGCAGAAAGGTCAAGAAATGAACATCTTAAGGGTGTGCAATGAGCACACAACATACAAACCACTGAGACCTGGACCCTCCCGGTCATGAGCCCACGCGTTGGAGTTTGGGGAGGTCGTCATATCCAAGTCACTTCAAACACTGAGGGAGCACCACGTGCAAGGTCCCCCAGCCCCAGTTCTAGGCACCAGATCATGCTGTTCCTCTCTTAAAATCCATCATGCTCCACGGTGCCTTCATTCAAGGAGATCTAACTTCTGGAATCTAGACCCAGAATTACAAAGTGAAGGCAAAAGCTAGGCCAGCACAGCTAAAGTTATTCAAAGGAACTTTCAAAATAAGAACTCTTCTTTAATAAGCCCATTGGGGTTTTGAGGATCATCAGCCTTGCCTCTACTGCCCTTATTGGATGAGAGGGATGTGCCGCATACATTGGAAGGCGTTGTGAGTGGCAAGGCTACCCTTGATTGCAAAAGAAAGGTCATTGCCAAGTGATAAAGGGGAAGGTGAGAGAAAAAGAGCCTTTCAGCACTTTAAAAGCAGAAAAACAAAGCACTGCCCCCACCCATCTTCCTCCCTCCCTAAATTTCCTCAGTAAACTAAAGGTGGAATTGGAGTTCAATAAAGCCACCCGAGTTCCTCCTTCTACTTGGTCTGTGCCACAAATAATCCATTTGTTGCCTGGGACCTTATCTGAAGTCTCTGTCTTCAGTGATCTGCATGCAGATAAGAGAATCAAAGGAAATTTTAGCTACGTGTTTAGCTACTAGGCTTAGGTAGGAAATTGGACTCCGTTCCTGCAAAATAAAATAGCTAATTTATTTTCTAAGGGAAATTGTCCCTTTGGAAGAATTAGAAAGGACAGGGGGCAAAAGCCACCAAGGCTTTGGAAGATAATGAAGGGCAAGAAAGGGCCTCAGGACAGCAAGGTCACAAACCACTCAGTGTGGTGCCCACCTCAGCCCCACAGGAAACAACACCCACAGAGAAAGTTGCCCAGGGATCCCTGCGCGTCATTCAAGAAATGAGCATTGGGGCTCCTGGATGGCTCAGTCAGTTGAGTGTCTGACGTCAGCTCAGGTCATGATCTCACAGCTCATGAGTTCGAGCCC